AATAAAAAAAAAAATTTTGAATTTACTTACTTGTAGCCAGAGTTAGAGGCGGTCGGATACTTATGACCGCTACTGTAAGAATTTTTGATGATGTTCCTGAAGGAGTTATTATTGCGCAATAAATTCTGAATACTCTAATTTGTTATTAAAATTTTCATATTACATTTATTCATCAAAAAACTTTTATTTAAAGATAGGGGAAATTACATAGTAAATTAATAGTAAACAATAGTTCAAAAAAAAATTTTAATATCAATCATAAATAACAATAATAATAATAATATAATTTAATATCAATATTAGACTCTTACTACTGTTTTTTATTTATTAAATAAAGGCTTTAGACTTCAACTTTTCATTCTTTTAAGTTTATATCTAAATTTATATAATACTTATAAGTGAATATTAGTATTAATTTTAATATTTTATTATGATCTAACTTAGTTATTTTTAGCTTTTTTTTATTTTTTTATATTTTGATTTGTTTGATATAATTTAAGTTTGATATTAAAAGAACTTGAGAACTTTAAAATGATAAAAGATAATCTATTAAGAAGCATAAATATCACTTTCTTTTACTATCATATAAAAAATAATGCTGAAATTCTATACCATCAACAGTAAGAAAATAAAATAATATTTATTCTTTTATAAATATTTATTTTTGAAAATTATTGTACAGTATATATGACTAATTTTTTACATAATAGATGATAATAAAGATAACTATAATTTTGTCATAATTACAAATAACAGAAAATATTCTGCTAATAATAATATTGATAAAGAAAGTATTAATAATAATAATATTAAAAAATTTTTAATTTTTAATTTTATTATTATTTAAAGTTTATTTTTACAAATTATTTATTTTATTAATAAAATTATATATTGATATATGGTAAATAGTTAAAAAAAAAAAGGAAGTTGTTAAATCTAATATAAAAACTAGATCTAAATCAAAAAAGTAAGTATAAAAAATTATTATTTTGTTAGCTAACAGATCATATTATTATTCTTGTTTATCTCTTATTAATAGAGGAATTATCTGTAGACATTATTTTTAAGTAATGCTCTATACTTCTAATACAAAATTTCATATTAGGCTTATTTCCTTCTGATGGTATCACAAAAATAAGGATCTAAGTAAAGAACCATTTCTGATTTCTAGTAAATTTGAAGTTGAAATAGCACCTATAATTTTACAACATAATATTCTATTTTTGATAACAATCTATCAAATAGAATCACAAGATTCTATTACTCAATATAAAAGTATTACTGATGTATAATTCTATAATAAAATTGCTAGTTTAGCTCGTAAGATTACTATAAAAGCTGTAAAAAAACAAGACCTTAATATAATCAATCTTTTTGAAAATTACTTAAAAGATAATGAACTAGAAAATGAGTTAGATATAGATAATGATGAAAAAAACAAAGAAAATAACTCTTCTAATATTAGCAATTCTAATAAGAAAAATAGGTTTAAAGGTTGACCTAAAGGTACAAAAAGAATTAAGGCAAATTATGAAACAAAAGCATTAGCAAAAGTAATAAACAGTTTAAATGTAATTACTGTGATAGTATTGGTCATAATAAATGGAATTATAAAAATAATGCTATATCTGATGTATAATGAATTTAATTGATTAACTATTATTATTTAATAAAACATTTAAAATATTTATATTCAACAAGTACTTATTTACATTTGTATTTAAAAAAAAAAAATTTATTAAATTTTGACTGAAAATTTATGAAGCAGTAATGATGTGAAATTTTATAAATACGATAAAAAATAAACTTCATTAATTAATATCTAAATTATAAAGCAGATGGATTATAATACATCAATAATAGATAATATTAAGTATTACTATTATTTCCTGTATGATCTCTGGAGAGAATCAAGGCTCTATCAAGCAAAGTCTAAAGAAAAATTCCTTAAGTATTATTTTTATCTCGATCTATTACAACTTCACAACTTTGGTATTTGTACATCTCAGATCCTCCTATTTTTTGAATACTCTTACATCAGCTGCAAGTTTTTGAAGTATATGCCTCATTTTGGAAAATAACATGGATTCTTAATTCTTCAACTTTAGCTATAAAATGTTAGCAAAATTGATAATGAGCCTAAAAGAGCATTTTATGATGATATCATATGAAGTCAATTTTACTGTGTCATAAATATTGATGAATGATCAACATTATTAACATCATTAACATTTTTAACTTAATTAATATTTTTATTTTATTTATTTTATTCATATATTATATTATTATTATTATTAAATTGCAATTTATCTTTTATATTTATTTTATCGTTATAAAATAGTTTAACGTTAGATAACAATTTCTTATAATTGTATTTTTGTATAAATAGAATAGAAATTTGTCCTTGCAAAAGGGCAGAAATAACAGTGTAAACTCAATAGTTTGAGTTTAAGACTTAAAATCTAAGGTTAAGGATTGTTAAGGATACAAATCTTTACAGTAAAGGAATCTCTTTCTAAAACTACACATATTAAAAATCTTTTAATGTATCAATCGTGTTTATCGTGTTTACAAATTATTAAAGTTATTTACTTATCTAAAAGAATAAACCTAAGGTTAATTGTGATAGGACTTATTTCATAGTAATTTAGTAGTTTCTTGCATGTTATTCCCTGTTATTAAGTCATAGTTACTTTAAGTTCGATAAGCTGAGTCTAGGGTTAACAACGAACAGTTTTTCACATTATATTTCTTGTTTTTTGATTTATCATATTTGATACCTCAAAAGGAGGAATGATAATGACATTAAATTCACGAGTAAAAAATATAACACTCTTTTTATAGATTTCACTTTGCAGATGTTTGATTTTTTGTATTATCTGAGAAATTGCATTATCAAGTCGCAAGGCCTTTTATTTTTACGTTTTAAATTAGAGAAAGCCAGCTTGTTTTTTATAGAATAAAGATTATCAATATATTTGCATAAACGAATAATTCGACCAATGTCATATTATCCAATTTTACCTACACCTTTATTAGGAAATTACTATGTAAAGGGTGTACAAACACTAGGATCAATGGGGACTGCATGAACAGAACCATCCGCTTGGATTTCGCGAAGCTGTTTTTGCATTTCATAAACCTATGAAAATTTCCATTCATTAGTTTTACGAATATATGTGATTTTACAATCAGATGTTATCTTGTGAGGAACAGGTCACTTATTATTACGTCTTTTTTTTCAAAATGAAGAGGTCACAAATCACGTTTATTATGATCCAAAGTGACAACAGGCTTATAATAATGTGTGGAAAGCATTGATGGATTGTAGAGATAGATGATATAAAAACAGTTCCACATGGATTTTGAAAAATTTTATGAACAAATTGTTATTGTTTGTCGTAAATCTTTTCGAGATCGAAATGATAAAGATGAACCTCGTTGTTTCATGTTTGATCCTATATTATGGTTAATTATCTTATCTCTAAATTAATTAAAAAATCAAAAAAAAAATCAAAAAATAATAATCATACCTAGCAGTCAATGTTTCATCAATTGCCTCATCAATAATATTTGCAGATGCTTTTTCATGTGTACCTTGAAGTAACATTCCAATACGCACAATAGTTTGTACAAATTTGCATTCACCCCATACACATGATTTTTGAAGTTTCTTGTCCTTATGTTCATTAATGTCTTTTCCTACATGAACATCTGTATAAATTTTAAGTTTATCTTCAATGGGTTAAGGTTTTACCCAAACTCGTTGTGATGGACCAATATGTGAATTCTTGGTATAGAAACAGCAGTATCAATTCCAGTGAACAACTGCATTATAAGCATATCTCATCAAGCCCATTTAACGTTTCAATAACTGCTTTTGAGGGTGATTTAGATACACTTTGATCAGGAGAGTGGTTTCCAAGTATTATCGCTTGTTGCGCGCTGATGTTGTCCTGATCTTTGTATTGCGTTTTTTTCCTAACCTGGCATTCTCATCGGTGAATAGCGGCTCTTATTCCTTGCATTCAACTGTATTGACTGCAAGGATATCTTGGGAAAGTTCGTGTTCATCAGAGGTCGCATCGTCGAAGAGAACCACGAGTTTTGTAGTATGGAGGGAGAGTATGTACTGGATGAGGTCAAAGGCAAAGCAGCAGAGTCAGTCACGATGGGTAACCACAATTTCCGAGACCATTCCGCGACTTGTCCGTTCCAATAAGGTCTTAAGTCCTGGTCTCTTGAAGTTGACACCTGATCCAATATCGCTGATGAGTTCGTAGGTTGGATATCTGGATCTGAGGTGTTATTTCTGCCGTTCAAGATCCTCTTTTTGCTCGACAATAAAGACCTGTGCATAGAGGAACCCTTTTTTGGTGGTGGTGGTGGTGGCGGCGGTGGTGGTGGTGTAATCGACATCTTGGGAAGTCAACTCTGGAAAAATGGAAGATATGTCGTAAAGGCGAGTACCAAAAGGAGATGTTTTAGCAGTAATTCTTCCTTGCTTTAGCCAACGACGTAAGGTATCTGACGAGATTCCAAGTTTTCTAGTTGCCTTGTGTGCAGACAAATACATGGAGGAGAGAGTTTGAGTTTACGATTTTGAACGATTTTTAAGTCATATATGATTTTCATTGATAACGATATTACAATGAGCAAAATTTGCTACGTGTAATAAGAAATAGGACAATGATTAATGAGTAAGGTCTGACCAATCATAGATTCGTGCAACATTCACCAAAAAAATTTGAGATCAAGAAAAAATTTTTTAAATATCTCGAATATTATTTCTTATGCCTACACCAAAGTATATCTAAAAAAAATGGTTAAATCTTCAACAACGCCAACTTTCAAAAAGCAGATTAAATCTTCGACAACTCCATTGTCATCAAAGAAATCTTCTATCACGTCGTCATTACCGACTAAAGGCAAACTGAATTCTACAATAAACGAACTTTCAACTATAGCTAAAGCAACTTCACCACCAAAAAAAAAATCAAAAAAAGTAAATTCTCTTAAATCAACTTCCACAAAACATACAAAGAAAAATAAAAATGGTTCAAATAGTTCTAATAATGATAAATATAAGTTGAAAGAACCCAATGAAATGGAAATTGACAATAATGATTTATCAGATGATTCGATTGATTTTGGAATGACTGGCGGTGATATGGACGAAGAATTATTTAATTTGAAAATAGATGCTTCAACATCTGATGATGATGAAAATTCTAAAGTTGATGGTAGTGATATTGATAGTGTTATCGAGAATAATGATGAAAATGTTAAAATAAATGAGAGTGATAATATGGATATTGATCAAAAGAGCGGACGTGAAAATCTGAATGAGGAACTGTTGGATGATGAGGAAGGCAAGGAAGATAAGTTTAAACGACAAAAAAACCAGGAACCCGGTAACTATTCTCAACATCATTATCTTTTTCATCTTTTCAAATTCTAACCTAAAAATTTTAATAATATAGATTATAATGTAATCAAGTTAGCATTACAACGTAAACATGCAGTTACAAAAAGACTTGATCCAGTTTATCATTTAGGATTAAAGGAATTATGGAATCAAGTCCGAATAAAAAATATTTCTAAAGAAAAAAGAAACAAGTATATGGATGAATTATTTGAATTAATTAAAGGTAAAATACCTGAAATATTATTTAAAATTGATACTTCACGTATTATACAAACCGTACTTAAGTATGGTACAGAAGAACAACAAAAAATTATTATTGACGAGTTGGAAGGAAGATGGTTAGAAGCTTCAAAAAATGTTTATGCTAAATTTGTTATTTGTAAAGTTTTGAAGTATTGGTAAGTCGACAGCGACAATTTTATATGTATATTTGATTACTGATTTTGATTTTAATGTTGATTTTTTTTTTTTTCGGTTTCAGCCCTAAACACAGGTATAAAATTATATCAGAATTTAAAGGTAATATTTCAAAATTGATGCAACATACCGAAGCTCGTAGTGTAATTCTAGAAGCTTATGAATTACTTAATGCAAAACAAAGATCCTCTTTAATCCAAGAATTTTATGGGAAAGAATTTTCCTTATTCAAGGTATTAATCTAGACGCACTTAATATATATATATATATTTTCTTTTATCATTCTATTGATGTGTAATGTCACTTTTTAACTTAGGAAACACAAGGATTAAGCATTGAGGAACTCGTAAAAGAAAATCCCTCGAATAAAGACAGAGTTCTTGAAAACCTTTCAAGAGAAATAGAGGCAATAATGAAAAAACCAGGGTTAATTGGATATATTATACCACAACGTATTATGTTAGATTATTTTACTCATGCTAATGAAAATAAGATTCGTGAAAAAGTTGCTTTAATTGGAGAACACGTACATGAATTTTTACATACGCGTGAAGGGTCTCGTGTAGCAATGATGTGTTTTTCTTATGGCACCGTAAAAGTAAGTATGATTAATGATTAATATATTGATTTTTATTTTGCACTTTATTTATTTTTGTGATGATAATCCAATGTTCTCGTTTTTATTTCCTAATATATAGGATAGGAAAACTATGTTGAAAGCCATGAAAGATTATGTCGAAAAGATATGTTGTGAAGAATATGGACATTTGGTATTATTGAGGGCATTTGATGTTGTTGATGATACTGTCGCTGTATCAAAATATATTATTGAGGTATTGTATTTGGTTTTTTTTTTCCCTCTCTAGTATTAATTTTAAGATCTTATCAGATAAATCATTTTTATATTTATAATAGCAAATGACCAAATTGAATAAATTAAGGAATATTCTTCAAAATAAGTGGGGTCATCGTGTAATTCTATACTTGTTGGTAAATAGGTCTACTTTATACTTTAGCAATGAAACATTACGTCTGCTTGCTCTTGGTGATGACATACGCACAAAGACAAGGTACTAATCTAATATATTTATTTGTATTTCGTTGATAAAAAATTATTAATTAAAATTTTCGATTTATAGCAAAAAAGATCCAATTGTACGTGCAAACGAGCTTCGCAAAGCAATTTCACCTGCTTTAATAGAATATGCACAAAACAATACATCATCAATGTTCCTGTTTACCTATTCAACTCAAGTCCTCTGCGAAATATTACTACGTGCGGATGGAACTTTAGAACAAAAGACGCCAATTTTAGAAAATATAGCAAGATTAACTAATAAAAGTCCGAGTGAAGCAGAGAATGATAATATTATGTTATCTTATATTAATCGTACTCTTAAAGTATTAGTTCACGGAGGACATCGGAAGCCGCCTAAATCACTACAAATTAAACAAGAAGGTTCAAAAAACGACGTTTCACCACAAGTCTTTAATGATGATAAGGCAGAACTACACTTTGGACCGATTTTATTTAATAATATTAAAGAATATATTTTATTCTATGCATGTCACCTTACTGCTTCTTTTGTAATTTTGGCTTTATTGGAAAATAAAGAGACTAATATGTATGTTAGGGAAGAATTATTGAAAGGTGTAGAACAAATTCAAAATGCTGCTAAGAAAAACGAAAAGTCTGGAGCAAATTTAATTTTAAAAGAATTAGGAATTAAATTGGAAAATAAGAAGGGAGGACAAAACATTAAAGTGAAGTCTGAAGGAATTAATGATAAGGGTCATGGAATTAAAGCTGGTGCGAATAAGAACAGTGAAAATAAAGGAAGAGGAAAGGAAATGGTGAAAGGAAAAGGGAATAAGAAAGAAATTAATGGTATTAAAGGTGTAAAAAGAAAACGATGAGAATATTAGAGCGTTTGTAGAACTTTTAATTAGTATCATAAAATGTTTTCCTTCTGTATCAATTATTTATAATTTATATATAAAAAATAAATATTCATTATTTTTATTAAACATGGTTCTAATCGTGAATAATAAATAAACGTTGAAAAACTTGTTATATAGTGTCATAAAATGTTCGTTTCGACGTATAGAATCCAATGAATACAATCATATTATCTTTTTGTTTGCCTTAACACGCCCTCAAAAAAAAAAAAAAAAAAAAAAAAATTTGAACAAATTGATAAATAAAAATCGGCTGCAAAATTTTGTAGTTAATTTTTTTTGGGGGGGTTTTCTGACTTTCTAAATTAAATCGCGGATAAATAAATATCCGAATTAAAATAATTTCAGATTGATTTTCAAATCTTTTACTTTCTGATGGGCTTGGAAAGGTTTTGGAATTTTAGAAATAAAAATAGATTGTAAATTTTTTTTTTTTTTAATAATAAATGATGATTATCATGATAATCAGTTTTTTTTTATTTTTTTTTTTTTTTTTGAAATTAATTTTTTAAAAAATGCTAACCAAATATGAGGAAGGGTCTTCGGAAAGATAGCACGTGAGTTGAATCATTCTTGTTTTTCGGACAGTTTCGTGACGATCATTGCCTTTTGTTACAAACGTAAATATTTATAAAGCACACAAACAATCAAGCATCATGTACCATTCACAAACTCATTCTCTCCTTTTTTTTTCTTAAATAATAAACTATATTTTATCAAAATGAGTTCTATGAAATGGAGTGTAAAAGACGTAAAACATTGGCTTGCTAATTCACTAAAACTTGATAAACAAGTTCTAAAGATATTTGAAGGTAAAGAATAATATATATATATATAAACAAAAACAAAAATTAGTTATAACTTTTTTTTTCGTTGCTTTTAAATATTTAGAAAATGAAATCAACGGCGAAATATTGTTGAATCATATAACAGATAATATTCTGCTAAATCGCTTAGGCGTTATATCTTATAACTCCAGGTTTAAAATCTTAAACGGAATACAGGAGTTAAAGCTAGAAAATGGTAATTAAAATTTTTAATAACAAGTTTATATTAGATTAAACGTTTTAATAAATTATTATAAAAATATATAAAAATATATAAATATATACGTAAACCTTTTTATATAATTATATATTAGAGGGGCCTCAAATTGTCCCTTTAATTTTACCTACGTCATCATCATTTATCTTTGATCCAGTAGTTAATGAAATGAAAGATCAGGTTTCTGATAAATCAGAAGATAATACTGCTGTAAATTTTGATTTTAGTGACGATGAAACCTCTGAAGCTATATCTAGCGATTCTAATAAAGATTTTGCAAATGGTAGCGATGAAGATAGTGATTGTGAGAGTTTTCTTAGTAAAAATGAGGATAGCGACGCATTGGATATGGATGATGAGGAGGACCTCATCATGAGGGGGCAACGAATTAAAAAGAACAATAATGTTCATGTAAATAATATGGATTCATCTGAATTCGGAAACAAACCCGAAATTTTATCGAATTTTCATGCAATCAGAGTCGGAAAAGATCCTATTTCAAAGAAAGAGGAGGAAAGAATCCTGGCATCCCAAAAAAATTTTGGATATGCAACCAAATGGATGTATGCGGAAGATGATGAATTGCTTCCGGTGTGTATGAATATAAACTTACATGATTGTGATGTTTACTAAAGAATTCTTGAATTATTTTTTTGGTTACATAAGGTTTACGGTGATAGTGACGAAGAATTATATTATCTAACGAGTGATTTTGAGGAAGAAATTATGGAAGAAGAAAGGAAATTAGCTAAGAAAGGGGGTAAAAAATCTACTCCTTTCATTTATGTGAGTTCAGAAGGTAAATTTTCTCCTACCGTTAATGAAACCATCTTAAGTGAAGATGAGGAAACTTTTGAAATAAAAGTCGAGCATCTGATTAATCTGTATATTGAAAGAGAAAGGGAAAGATGGAATTCTACAAAGCAAGTATCGAATTATTATTAGCTTTCGAAGGTAATATTTTATGATTTTGTCTAAACAAAGTTTCTATACTCATAGAAAACCACAACTTGAGGATAAAGCTTTTTATTATTGGTCAAGATACTTTCCGAGAAAATTAAACACCAAAAATACTACTCGTATGGCTAATTTACAACAAGAATTGAAACATTTGAGAAATGAGGTATTTATTGTTATTGAATCTGTAACTTGTTGGTTTAAGCACTCTTTTGTTTTTTGTACTCAATTTACTTTCAATTTTAGCGTCTTCCTCAATTGATCGAACAAGTCAAGTCAAATCTTAATACTGTAAAAGAGTTAACGTTAGGAAAATCTTCTGTGAGACGTGCATGTGGCGCATTGGACATGACTTTGCATCAGGTTTTCGAAATTGAATGGATCTTTGCTCTCTTAGTTAGACCTGAAGTTCCACAGAAATCTGCAAGAACTTCAACGAAAAAGAAAATTGTTAACAATGTAGATAATAAAGAGGTACTTTTAAATTATCCAGTTTTCAATTATAATAATCATTTTTAAACGTATAATTTATTATAGGCGAATCCAAACGAAGTTACTGATGACTATGAAGAGTATGAATCAGACTTCATCGATGATTCTGAGCCAGTAGATATAAATACTTATAATTTGGAATGGGCAGAATTATACAGAATTCCTAAACGTAAGTCTTTTTGTTCAATGTATTATATAATTAAAAATTTAACGATCGTAATAAGATTGTTTACTTTCGTAGTAACGGTTGAAACAATGAAATTATCGGATTTACCCGAGGTTACTGAAGTCATCGCAAATGACGTTGCACGTGTCAATTCCGAAAAATCACGTGAAGTGCATGATTCAAGCGAATCGGATGCACTTGAAAAAAATATATCATCTCACAATACAAATGTATCATTTGCTGATGATAATATTATTTCAAAAGATTCTCCAGAAATTAAAACTTCTGATAGCGATGATTCTTCGGCAAAGAAACTGCTTACAGAAGAAATAACTTTTGTTCCTAATGCTGGTAGAAAACCTAATCCCTCTGAAATCATCGTTGTAGAAGATAGTGATGTAGAAATGGCCAGTGATATGGAAATAGATGATGATGTATCCGAGGTTTATCAAGCAAGTGTCATTAATAAACTTGAGTATTCTGTGTCAAAGATTAACATCATACCGGATTTTGAATACCTTGATGATGATGACGTTTATGAAGAACCAGTACAAATGCATTCTAAAATTGATACTGCCTTTCTTAAATATAAGTGTCAAGGTAACGTAAATCAAATAAATTAATGATGATAGCGTTTGTTAGAACGAATCTAATCGACCATCCCTTCGTTAGAGTTGTATGATAAAATAATTATACTCTCGGAACAATTATCTTTCGATTGTAATCAGGAGTTCGAAGATCAGGCAGTCTTAATACGAATATATGACGAATTTAGAAGGTATCTACATATGTTATGTAGAAAAGGTGGTAAAGGTAGTAAGCTAAAGCAGCTAAATATAAACAACATTGATGTTTTCTCAAAATATTATGATTGGAGGAAAATTTACGTTATGGAGAATCATAACAAAAGGTTCGTATACTATGACTTTCGTTATTTATGATTGTCATTGCTTTAATAACTTGTGACATAATATTTTATGTCCAAAGACATGCAGAAATTGAGTCAAAGAACGAATCTCATGTTGGAAAGAATTATGTGGGAGACAGCGAAGAAGAATCAGACGATTTTGATAAAGAATCCAGTTCCCCTAAAAAATCTAAACGAAGAAGAAAGGTGAAGGAATCAAAGACTGTAATTGAACAACGTAAAGCCAGGAGCATGCTTGAACAGGATTATAGAGCCAGATTTGAAATGTAAGTTACATATATTTATTATTAAGTATGGAACATTTCGATACTGATAATTTATATTTATATTGCATAAATAGGCAAGCAAAACTCGTCAATCCTTCTGAAGGAGTATGTATCTTCTATCCTTATATATATATAGATATATTTTTTGTGATTTGTTAATTGATCTTTTTAATTTATTAAAGGTTATTATTAATCTGGGCCATCATGACGATGAGGAACATATTTATATCCCTGATATAGGTAATAAATTGAAATCTCATCAAATTGAAGGAGTTCGGTTTTTGTGGAAGAATATAATAATGTTCAATAAAGGATGTGTTCTTGCGCATTCAATGGGTTTAGGTAGGTTTATTTATTTTATTTCGAGATATATTTCGAGAAATTAAGTGGCTTATACTTATTGCTTTATTGATGTAACGATCAGGAAAAACTTATCAAGTGATAACGTTTCTATTTACACTGGCTTATCATATTCGGGGATATAGTAACAATACAGTTATACCTGATCATCTTAAAGTAAAGCTTTAATCTTTAAAATTTTTTTTTATATAAATATAATTATCATAATTTTCTAATTAATGTGGAATATTCACACCTTAGAAATTCCAAATTTTGATTCTTTGCCCAAAAATTGTTGTAGATAATTGGGAAAACGAATTCAATTACTGGTTAAAAGATGTGAGTAAGATTTTCAGCTTTTATAAATTTAATGGTAAGTTATATAATTTTAAATTTGCAATCAATTTATTTCAATTTTTTATTCGAGTTCTGAAAGATAACCTAACTTATTGATTAGATAACGTTGACCAGCGTCAAAAAACCATTGTTACGTGGTTTGAAAATGGAGGTGTGCTCCTGGTTGGTTATGAAATGTATAGGCAACTTATATTGTCAAGCTCAAACCATCAAGGTTCTTATCGCCATTGTTTATTGGACCCTGGCCCATCTTTAGTAGTTGCAGACGAAGGTCATATACTTAAAACAAAGGATGTAAGTGGGTTTTTACGTTTGTGATTTATATTTAAAGACCATAACAGAATTATAATTATAAGGGATAAATTGTGTGTAGACAAAATTGAATGATGTTCTTAAGAAGCTAAAAACT